ATTCTAGAACTGTTTGGCTTTTGGATAGTGGATATAATAATCATATAATATGGAATAAAAGTTTATTTCAAAAGCTTGATGATTCAATCATATCTACAAAATAGATGAGAAATGATAGTAAGGTTCAAGTGGAAGGAAAAGGAACAATTGCTATGAACATCAAAAATAGTAAAAAAATTATTAATGATATGATATTTAATCCTAGTTTAAAATAAAATTTCATTAATATAAGGTAAATTATAAGAAAAGGATATTTTGATTTTTTTATGATGAAAAATATTTGATTTATGATAAAAATTAAAAATTAATAAAAACTATGAAGATGATAAAAAATAAAATATTTCCCTTATTATTTTTAGATTTGTCCTTATATACATTCACAATTACTACTATTGATGAATCGACATTATAGTATAAAAGACAATCATCTGAATTATGGTAGACTAGAATTGTTAGATTAGAAAAAAATAAAATAGTAGATTTACCTAAGATTAAAAATAAAAATTAATTTATGAATCTTATATTTTTGAAAAATAATAGAAATTCCTTTCAAACATGTCATTTTTGTAGAGCCAAAAAATAATTAAAACTTGTGCATATAGAAATTTATGGGCCTATACAAACTATCTTACATGGTAGAAGTAAATATTTTTTGTCATTTATAGATGATTGCACAAAGATGATGTTGGTATATTTTCTCAAAAAAAAAAAATGCTGAAGCTTTCTTTGTTTTAAAAAATTTCAAAGCATATATAAAAAAATAAAGTGGTTATTTTATTAAAACTCTTTATATTGATAGAGGGGGTGAATTCAATTCTAAAGATTTTTTTGTTTTTTGCAAGAATATAAGCATTCACAATGAACTAACTATTAAGTTATACCCCTCAGCAAAATAGAGTAGTAGAGCAGAAGAATCGAGTAGTGGTTGAGACTACTAGATGTATGGTAAAAGAAAAAGCAGTACTAAAATAGTTTTGGGCAGAAGTTGTGAGTACAATAATATATTTGTTAAATCATTTTCCTATCAAGTAGTACAAGGAAAAACACCCTATGAAGTGCGATCAAATAGACTGTCAAATGTAAGTCATTTAAAGGTATTTCATTATGTTTCTTACTTTCATGTTCTTACAGAAAAAAAAAGTAGCAAACTTGATGACAAAAGGTTTTAGACTTTATAATCCTACAACTAAAAAATTAATCATAAGTTAGTGATATTATTTCTAATGAAGAAGAAGCTCAAAACTCTAAAATAGTTGAAATTCCAATAGTTATAGGGGAAGAAGTCATAAGGTACATAATGCATTGCTTATAGTTAATACCTCACCCAAATCTTCTCATATTTTGAATTATTTTAATTTAAGTGATTCTAGTGATATTGAAACACCTCCAAGGAAATTTTGTAGTCTTTTAGAGATATATTAGTCTAGTAATTTTATATGTTTTGCTTTGGAAACTTGTAGCTTAAAAAGAAGAATGGGTGCAAGCAATTAAAAAAATAAGACTTAAAAATTCATAGATTTGCCCCTAAGAAAAAAAGAAATTGGAATCAAATGCGTGTACGAGTCAAAATTTAATGCTGTTGACTCATTATAAAAATATAAAGCCCATGCTCAAATTTTAGATTTCTTAATTTGATGTTAAATTACAAATTAGCCTTCTTGAATGGAAAGGTGCCATAAGAGGTTTATATAAAGTAGCCCGAAAGATTTAAAATTAAAAGATAGAAGATAAAGTATATAAATTGGATAAAGTCATATAGGGCATGAAACAAGCACCAAGAGTATGAAAAAATTGATAATATTTTCTTCAACATAATGTTTAAAAAATTTAAGTGAGCCAACTTTATATATAAAAGCCTAAGAAATGAAATTTTTTATTGTCTATTTAGATATAGATGATATGATTTATACTTGAAATTTATCAAATATGCTTATTGAATTTAAGAAAAATATGATGTTAGAATTTGAAATGATTGATCTAGAGATTTTACATTAATTTTTTAGAATGAAAATTATTAAAGATTCAAATGAATTTGTTTTGTGGCAAGAAAAATATGTTAAATATTTGTTTAAAAGGTTTACTATGACAACTTATAAGCCAATGAATACTCTAGTGAATAAATGATAAACTTATGTTAGAAGATGAAGTTAAAAAAATAGATGAGCAATAGTATAGAAGTTTAATTAGAAGATTAATTTATCTCATATATTTAAGGCCAAATATTATGTTTGTAATTAGTTTGTTATCCATGTTTATGCATAACCCTAGCAAGCATTACTTTGGAGCACCCGAAAGAATTCTTATATATATCAAGGGAACTCTTGATTATGGCATCTATGTAAAAGATTTTAAGTTGTATTCTTATACTGATAGTGATTAAGCTGGTTATATAGATGAGAAAAAGTTCTTTAGGATTTATGCTCAGCCTTGACTCAGGTGTAATTTCATGGACAATAAAAAAACAAGAATGTATTGCTCTAGCAAACTTTGAAATAGAGTATGCTACGGCTATAAGTATATCATGTTAAACAATTCGACTTCGAAAAATTCTAGCATATCTATAAGAAAAATAAGATGGACCAACTAAAACTTATTGTGATAATAAGTCTACTATTGTAACGATGAAAATTACTATCTCCCATAAGTATACCAAACACATCCAAGTTTGACATCATTTCAATTATAAACTAATTGATAAATGAGATATTCAAATACACTCCTATAACACTAAATATATGCTTGCCGACATCTTTATAAAAGTTTTAGAGATTTTTTTTATTTTTTTCAAAGATAATTTCAAGTTACAACTATTTTGAATTGAGAGGGTATGACAAGATTAATTCAAATAGTTAAGATGAGATGAAACAAAAGATAAGATTTTATATTCAGATAAATAGATGAGGGTAAAACGATTTATTGATGAGGGTGAAAAGATTTAATGAGATATGATGGATTTTCTTATTATATAAAAATTATACTTTATACTAATATAAATAATATTCTTGAATGAATCCAAAATATTATATATTAGAAGTGCTATTCATTTTTTCTACTATCATCTTTTTCTTCTCCATAAAGTTCTACAGAAAGTAACCTAATTTTAGACTCATCAGTGGATTGGATTCCGTCATTGCTTGCCCTAAGCAATGGCACCTGCCACATCAGTGGAACTAATGGACTTTCATCTCATATATCCGCCACGGATGGGATGCTCACAATAGGGAGACTACTTAGTTAAATTCCATGCTGATAACGTAGAACATATCTGCAGAATATCCAACATACACTTGGACGATATGGGCATCAATCGTTCCAAGTGTCAACGGGTTTCACTCCTCTTTATCGATAAGATAGAGCCACTGTTTCACGATGAAGAAACTCCTCAAGTTGAGGGAACTTGTCATGCAGATATATGTATATATATATACATATATATGTATATGTATGTATATGCACGAATACATATACATAAATATAAATATATATGTATACATATATATATATATAAATAAATATATATATTTGTATATGTATATATATATATATGTATATATATATACATATACATGTATATATATACATATACATGTATATATATATATACATACATACATATATACATATATATATACATACATACATATATATATAAATATATATGTATATATATATATATGTATATATG